AACCCCCCCACCCCACTGTTGGTATGATACACGGTGGTCCACCAAAGTTAAATCCCCTGCCCACTCTCAACCACCACCACCTCTCGCTCACCTCGCCTCGCCAGTCGCCGCTGACTTCGCTGTGCGTGCGCGAAGTTGCCCGCGGAACTACCTTTTGTCCGCACGCAGAGTACTATGAGTGCGTAGTTAGGCTAGCGTGCGTAGTAATCACGGGTCGAGACGGGTGGTCCGGTAAAGTACAATCCAGCCCAGAGCAGAATTGAGGGCTAGGGGTAGGGTTTTATTGATATTGTGTTTTATTTTTATTGGTGAGGATGATAGCCACTTCAGAAAATTATGTATTTACCTTCAGAGTATACACACGCTCCCCTTCATCACCCATGTAGTACATAAGGAGAAGAGACATCTTGTTCGATCCCAAAGAATCAGTTGCAAGTCAACCTGACCAAACGAACAAATTTAAAAAAGCGCTTTGTTGTTGATTCTGGTTAGGCCTATAAGGACAAGGATGGAACAGTCAAAACATCAACACACACATGGCACCTCAGCGTACAATAGTACAATGCCGACACCGGAAGTAATTCCGAAAAAAGCGACAAAGTCGTTCCTGATTTTGCGATGTAGGCCTCTCTAGCCTAGTTGAAGGAGGACGAATTGCCCAGGCCTACTCCCTCTTTTGTCTTTAAAAGTGGGTTAGATAAATGAAGAGTATTGATTTCTATACTTAACTTATAAGGTATGTTTTTCTGTGTGTGTGTGCGGAGTGGGGTGGTTGAGATAAATCGTTTTTCAAACGTTGAATGCTCGCTGTAGCTACAGCGTAGGCCTACTGCACAGAATTCTACAAGTGTAGAATTCTGTGGCCTACTGTAAACTCCTTGGGCCTTATGAAAATAAATTCAACGTCCCAATCTGGGCACTGAGGTCAAAGGGTAAAGTTCAAAATGACGTCACTGTTTTTGGCGCACGTGTGTAAAGATGGCGGAGTCTGAGACACTGAGTAAAAAGTAAGCATGATGGTGAAACAGTTAAGCCGGCAAATTTGCGTATTATAGGTCTGACGATACCTGGTTGTGTTGAGAATATATCCGTTAGAGCCTCCATTTCGTTTTCAAAAGTTTTTATTTTTTAGTTCCGTCCTCATCGGACAACGAGACAGAGGATTCTAGCCTAGCAGCAGTGCGTGTCACAATATGACACACAGTTCACACAGGCAGAGGAGGAAGAAGCGAGGCACTCACTTTTTCACTAGATCTAGATCTAGATCTAGAAAGTGGCTATTCTCACCCGCCGGAAGTTCTCGCAAGATCAACTCCTCCCCTCTTCTCTCTCTCTCTCTGTCTCTTTCTGAATACTGTCTATCGGTGTGGACGATCAAATTGACCAAAACAAAGTTTAAAAAATGATGTTAAAACACAAAAAAAGTTAATTAATTTGGTTGTTTACAAACAAAGATGCTACGGCTATTTAACTTTTCAAATCGAGCCGAACTATGCGGGTCGCCATTTTGTTTTGCCCGGAAATTCTCGCGCTACTCCTCTCTCTCTTTCTCTCTCTCTCTCTCTTTCTCTCTCTCTCTCTCTCCACTGCCTACAGACAAAATTGTACGCTTTTAGTAGGTAGGCTACAGTACAGTTTTAATATGGAACGTTTGTAATTGTTCACGGCACAGAATTCTACAATTTTTCTGTTATCACAGTGTAGAATTCTGTGGTTTAGGGTGAACGCGCACCGGGTGAGAATAGCCACAAGACTCGCCGGCCTTTTCACTAGGCCGTCGTTCGAGTCCGAATAACATTTTTTCATATTCGGACTCGAGTCCGAATAAAAAAAATTCTTATTCGGACTTGAGTCCGAATATGAAAAAATGTTATTCGGACTCGGGTCCGGAAAAAAGGAAGTGTCTTCTTCGTTCTATCTAATCTAATCTAGATATATTTATTTATAATCTAGACTAGATCTAGATCTAGATCTAGATATCTGAATGCAACTGCAACTTTTTTTTTTTTTTTAAATGGCAAATTCCTCATGGATTTAAAAAAACTTTTGTACATTGGTTTGTATTTTTTTTTTACTGAAACTGGTTTGTTCCTGGAAAAAGCTGTCGCAGTAACTAACTAAAATCACAAAAATTTCTTGATCTTTTTCTTTTATTCACTGAAGGAGAAATAAAACAGATTTATTCCTACTAGTACAGGGGTATGAGGTTGAATGTGACACACACACGCACAACATGCTCACTCACACACACCCTGTTTATTAATTTTGATCCACCTGTCCACGTCTTTTATTTGATACCATAGAGTAGACTTCCTTGTCAGACAGCTTTTAATTTTAAAATTAATGAAACGATGAAATCAAGTTCATGATTGTGCAACAGAGTTTATGTCCTGGTTCAAAACCATTCTTGTGCTGCCCAAAAACAGTGCCATTTTGGAGCTGTTGCAGCTTGGTTTTTTCCTTGTTTTCATTCCATCTTGTGATTGCATCATGCTATTTTTCAAGTATATAAATAAGCATTTACTTTGTTGCCTTGTCCTCCAGATGATTACTGTTCCGCAGTCTCTTTTTGCTCATTGTGGTTGAACATTTATAGTGGATAGTTTTGGAAAAAAAATTTCAATAATGTCTGATCCTGATGGTTTTGTGGATCCTGTGTGTGCCATTGACGATGGTCCCAGCAAAAAGTAAGTTGTGAGGATACTTTTATCATCACCCTCTGACTGAGTTTATGACTAAAATTCTTTCAGGCTATACACATATTTCTGGCTTAAAATTATATATAAATTACTTGGGTCTGAACTTCCGGCAGTTTTTTTTCCCAGACTCTCCTTCCACTGATTGTCTTTTTCTTTTTAAAGATTGAAACAAAAGAATTGAATACTTTGTTCTGAGGAGTGACCTTCATACTCTATTAGGATCTATCTAGGGAACTTTATCACGAACTATCTAGTAACTGTAGTATTCTTTTGAGAGATTGAGATCACAGCGGCTGACGTCCCTTTTCTTCTTTGTTTTGGCAGGATCCGTGTAGGCCATCCTCAAAACAGATTTGAAGGTTGATGTGAGAGCCTCTTGATTTTCTCCATCTCTGAAAGGAAAAGACAGGAAGGAGAGCTGGTGGGCTGCTGAAAAGAAACCAGCTATGGCTTCCAAATTTCTCTGGCGTCTTATGAAGTGTAGATGTTCTGCCTTGACTAGTGTTGTTCCATTGAGTGTTCAGCCCTTGCAGCATTATAGACTGTCCCAAAATCTTATTCTGCAATCAGCACAACTGCACACTACAAGCCTCACTTATGCAAAGTCCCGGTAATTGTTTTTGTTTTTCATGACTTTGTGGATATATGCTGCCTCTAATTTTCAAAATTTTGCACATTTTGGCTCTACTTTTGTCTCTCTGTATCATGTGTTGTGTCTCTCTTTTTTACAATTGTTTCGGGACTTCTTTTCTGCGTTGATGTGCGTTGATTTTTTTTCAGTGTGAAGTTGAAACTATTGCCTCTATTGAAAGAACAGTGTAGTCTGTTATTAGTTTGCTTTAAGTTGAATGAACGAATGACAGAAGGATTATTCAATTACATTATATCTGGAAAGAAAAATTAAATTGCTAATTGCTGCGTGGGGCGGTGCCAATGACTGAAGTGTCTTTAGGCCATTCCCAAAGGGGGGACATTTCTCGTTCTAGTACACAGTAGAATTCTAAATGGGCTGATCTAACAATGTCATGCTCATAACTGTGCCTGAACTACGACAGGGAACTGCTGCTTTTTCTTTCCTAATCCTAACTATCGTCATTTTCCTCTACTTCTTTTGTATGTTTGTCACACTCTTGTGACCCGCTATTTTCGGGGTGCCTTGATAGTCGAAGCGGACTTTGTGCTGCTGAATTTAGAGAGGTGAGCAGAGTAAGTCTGATTCCCTGTAAGGACTTCTCTGTTGACATCCACCCCTTGGTGCTCCTATGACCTGATGCAGTTGTGAGCGCTGTAAAACTTCTACTTAAACTATTTTTAAAAATACCAAATTGCCTTTTTTCTCTTCTGTACAGAGCACCTTTATAGATAGCCAATTTTTTTACTTTTCATCTTGGAAAATATATGCTGTGACGTGGGAGTGAAATAAGTTGTTGGTGGGTGCTTTGATTTGCTGAATTTGCTGGTTTTGGGTCAAATTGTAAAATTTGAGTTGTTTACTTCTTTTGTTTATAAATTTAATATATGTTAAAAAAAAAGCCGAGAGAAAATTTACTAACCTTTTATTAATTTTATATGCACTGCTATTGAAAACAACATAAAATTAGTCAAGCAGTGACAAATTTCTGCAACAGAAAGGCTTTTTTTCCTCAAAGTGACAGCAGGGTTGGGTTGATTTAAATCAGGTTGATTTAAATCAGTTGATTTTTTGGATTTAAATCAACTTGATTTTTTAAATAAAAATCAGTGATTTAAATTACTTTTTTAAAAAATTATTTTTATTCGGTTTTTACACATTTCAACATTCAGAATTCCTTTCCTTGGTTTCATAAAACAGATATAAGGCTCAGTAGACTAATATAATCATGCTTAAAAGTCTGATTTCCCCCCTTTCACTGTAAAATAATACAGTATTCAATTTACTTTTTTTTCCATAATTCAATTAATTGAAATCAGAGCTGGGTTGATTTAAATCAGTTGATTTTTAAAGAATTTTAATCAATTTGATTTTAAAAATAAAAATCAGTGATTTAAATCACTTTTCAAAAAAATATATTCAGTTTTTACATATTTAAACTTTCAGAATTCCTTTCCTTGGTTTTATTTTAAACGGATATAAGGTTTAGTAGACTAATATATTCATGCTTAAAAGTTTGCTTTCCCCCCTGTCACTGTAAAATAATACAGTTCTCAATTTACTTTTTTTTCATAATTGAAAACCAGGGTTGGGTTGATTTAAATCGGGTCGATTTAAATCAGTTGATTTTTAAAAATTTAAATCAACTTGATTTTAAAAATAAAACTCAGTGATTTAAATCACTTTAAAAAAATGTTTTCTGTTTTTACATCTTTAAACATTCAGAATTCCTTTCCTTGGTTTTATAAAACAGATATAAGGTTTAGTAGACTAAAATTGCTTAAAAGTCTGCTTTCCCCCCCTGTCACAGTAAGTAGTAAAATAATACAGTATTCAATTTACATTTTTTCATAATTGAAATTAGCATTTTCTTTTTCTTTTTAGACAAACACAAGCGCGTGCTCACACACACACTGTAATAAAAATAAAATGCAAGTTTATCTATGCATAATTACCCCCCCCCCCCCCCCCCCTTCCTTTTAGACTGACATTTTCTTCATTTTTTGTCTGTAGCCATAATTCACTGATATAGCAGATTAAGGCTTTCTAAAATTGCAGTTGCTTAAATTAATCATTAGTTAAAATAAAGACAATGCATTTTGCACTAAAAGAACATACTTTTAGCCACCAAAAATCCCAAACTGTGTCATTTTTTTTTTAATAAAAAAAAAATTAAAAATCCGATTTAAATCAACAAAATCTGATTTAAATTTAAAAAATCGATTTTTTTGATTTTTATCCCCAAAAAAATTTAAAAATCACCAACCCTGAGTGACAGTTTGGTGCAATTCTGTGCCTTCTTCTTTTTAAATTTGGTTTCTTATTGCCATCAGGAGGCTTTTACTTCATACAGAGTTGCACTCAGTGGAAAATTGGAAAAGTTTGAAGATGATTTGATCATAGCTGCCACTCCTCCCGGTTTTTCGCCCTAAATCTCAAGCATCCCGATTTTCCCGATTTGATCACGTGGATCCCGATTTTTTTCCTCTTCTGTTTTGCCAGATTTTTCGAAAAAACCTAATGTGCCTTCTTCTCTGTTGCGGGAAGCACCCGTTAAACTTTTTTCTGCAGGAACTTAAAAGTAAATCAATATAAAAAATTGTCCTCTGCTGTCGCTTGTGGAAAAAAAAAAGAAGTTATACAAGCGTCTTGACAGGTTCGCCCTCGTGACCGGTCAATGAACCTGTGAGTACCGGCGGTCTGAGCGCTGTGAAGTATAGGACTCCTTTATAAGATACACTCGTGGAAGGGGATTGGGGAGGGGAGCTGAATGCAACGCTAGAGGACAAAAACTGAACTTGGAAGCAAGTTTTTAGCATTTTGATTACTACTTTAGAGCTCTCTGCAAAGCGTGCGTTGGTGCAGGCCTTGTGTGGAATTGGATGGGGTGATTGTAATTTATATCTATATTTTATTAGCTTTCTGTTCAAGATTGGCAGATTTTCAGTGTCACTGCATCTCCCCCCCCAGTTCTTACACCTCTCACACTGAATAGGTGTACTTGAGCCATTCTAGTTATTACTCTACTTTGAGTTGCAGCAATGGTTTTCGTCTTCACGTTTATTATATGAATCAGGACACCCAGACTGGTTATTGACAGTCGATTTTCTAGTTCTACGTCTTTTTTCAGGCTCAAAACAGGATTCATTTTTTTATATAGGGCCTATAGTTTGTTATGTTGGCTAATATGATGATGGGAAAATATAAATAAGTAAGAACAGACTGAAATACCAAAGTCTTTCAAGATCCCAGTGCCACACTGACATGTTGTTGACTGGATATAATGTACCTACATGTGTGTGTGTGTATTCACAAACATATACATGTATTATATTAGATATAAATGGAGCACACGCTTTCATTGTTATGTAACATGTTCCTGGAAAATGGATGAGGCCCCTCCCTTGGAAAATTGAGAAGCTGGTTTGGCAGTCACCCAGTATTATAGTCATCTATTGTTTGAAGACTATACTACAAAATGTACATTTGCATTCATTTATAGACATTTTGACTTTTTATCTTTGATAGTTTGGCTTTTTTGGGGATCATTCTTGACGCGCAAAGGCCTGATTTTTCCCTTGAATTGGGGTCTTGAAAAAATTTTCCAGGATTTGGTGGGGACCCTGTATCCTGATTTTTAGATTTCATAGGGTGGCAGGTCTGTTTGATTTACAACATCAGAATCGTGAATGTGTGGTTAAAGTTAAAGCTGTGTTGTTGTGGTTGCCATTCGTTGATAAAAGCTTTCCTTATCCTGCAGTGTGGGTGGTTGGTGGGTGCTCTGGTGTGGTTTGTTCCTTCTTTCCTATCTAATATCTATCGTTCTTATCTCCCCTTCTTCTTTTTTGTTTTTGTTACTCTCTTGTAACACCTCTACTGTGCTGGCGCTCATATGACCTTATGCAATTGGGAGCGCCGTAAAACCTCTACTAAAACTTTTTAAAAACTATCTCCCGTCCTTTTTTGTATTTGTTACTCTCTTTTGACATGTCTAATCATCTTCGGCACTTTTATGACCTTGTTGTGTTGCAAGTGCCATAAAACACTTACTAAAACTAAAACTCTCCGGCAGTGAGCTGAAGCGCCGGCTGAAAGCCGAGAAGCAAGCCCAAAAGAAGGCAGAGAAGCAGTCAGCGCAGACTGCTGAAGGAGGGGGAGATAAAACAGCCGCGGCCAAACCGAAGCAAGATGATGAGGACATTGACCCCACTGTAAGTCCCAGTGATTCTGCTCATGTGTGCGCTGCCCCTAGATTTTATTTTAGGTTTATTAAAGAGATTTTACTGCCCTTGCAACACAAAACACAAATAGGTTAATATAAGTTGAGTGCTAAAGATTAGTTGTGTTACTAAAGAGTAAAATACAAAGAACAAAGAGGAGAGATAAAGATGATTCTTGTAGTGCAAGTATCACATGCATGTGATATATCTGTTGATTAAGGTTGTTGGTCAAACTCCTTTGCTTTCAAACGATACTGAAAACATATTTTTTTGCATGAAAAGTTATTATAAGATAAATCTTTATTGTCCAAATCCTGGCATATTAGTTTGGTCACCATACACACAGGCACACACACACAATGTACTCACACATGCACATGCGTGTGCACTCACTCATACACACATTTTCTCTCACATCCTCTCCTCCGCAGACATCTGTGCACATAGACATAATAATACTATAGTATGCTTACACTCACAAACAGGTTCACAGTCACTTCCTCAATATAAATGAACAATAATTGTCAACATAATTAATAGTGGAAAGATTGAAAAATGTAGGAATTAATATATGCTGCAGTTCAGATTCCTCTGAGCTTGGTATAGTACTTTAATTATGTTCAAATTCAGTTGAGAATGTTTTGTTAGTAGCATTGTTTTTTAATTGTTTCTTTTCTTGCTGTGACAGTTTTCTGGTTGTTTTTCTTTGTTTTCTTGCCAACGTTGTATCCCTCTCATTCCAAGCTGGCTTCCTAAATGATCTAAATTGTTACAATGGAGGCATAAAATCATGTACATTTAAAAAACAATAATTGTTATTTCTCCAGGAATATTTCAAGATGCGGACAAAGGCTGTGGCCGCCCTGAAAGAATCTCCCAATGAGGACCCGTACCCACACAAGTTCAATGTAGAGATTTCTCTGACAGAATTCATCGACAGATACCAAAACATTGAAGCTGGGAACATTCTCGAGCAAGAACTAACAATTGCAGGTGTGTGTGTGTGTGTCTACATGCGTGCGTGCATGCGTGCGCTTGCATGCATGTTGGGTGTATAAATGTTGTGCTAAAGGCTGGATGGTTAGAGTTTTAGAGTTTGAGTAAAGAGAAGCGCATTGACATAACGGTCATATAGTGCTGGGAAGAAGCAGGACTGACATTATTTTACGTTATTGAGACACTGTGGAAGTGGAAAACATGATCTACTTGTCTAAGACGGCCGCTTTTCTCCTTTCTCAATAGATGGCTGTCTCAGACAATTCTGACTGCGTATAAATTTCTGATCTCTCGCCTGATTGATTTATTCTAGCATTTGCTGCTTGCCGGTGTTCAGGGTTTTATTCATTGTTGTTTATGTTCTGAGAACCTGTGTAATGTGTTTTGTTTTCAGGTCGAATCTATGCCAAGAGGATATCGGGAGCCAAACTCATTTTCTACGATCTTCGAGCAGAGTCTGTGAAAATTCAAGTCATGGCAAACGCAAAGTACGTGTCTTAACAACCTGGTTATGTGTTGTTTTGTTGTAATGTTATATCGGTGCATTCTTTACATGATTCAAAGGAGAAAATATGAAAAAAACTTTGATCATTCCTTGCTTTTTTTTGGTCAACATTTAGAATTTGAACTTTTACAAGATATTTTTCAAGCACTTGCAAAACAATATCACAGACTGACTCTTTATCTCCGGCAAGCGGCTCGCGGTCGGAACCACCCAGCCACTGTGCCAGTGAGCTGCTGACAGCGGCTCGAGCACATTCCTTTACGACGACTTCAAATTGCTTTTGCCTAAGAAAGGTCTCTTTACCGGAATTTCATTCGTTAGATGAAGAAGTATCAAAATAGGTTTGCTAGTTTCGATTTAATGACCAACTTAATGATGTTTTTGTCATTTTTAGATTTAGCACCAAAAAAGGGCCCCGGCGTAGTGGGTTTACCCCCCTCGGAGATAGAGTTAAACTTTTGTTGCCTTATACATGCTTCCGAACTGTCAGAAATTTCCTGGGGCTATCTTAGATTTGGCAATCGGGAATTTGAGAAATTTATCATGTACACTTACACCAAAACCAGTACCGCTTGGTGTGGTTGTTTTTGTTGTTGCTTAATCTAATGTTTTACCGTTGACTTTCCCTGATTGGGTTTTGAAAAAGTTTGCAAACCTGTTTATGACGTACCCGGTCATTACATAATGTTTAGCTTTGTGCTGTATCAGTCGTGGAAGTTGGCAAAATTTGCTGTTCCTGTTTGCTAAGATGACAATCAATGTACGTCCCAGTAATCATCTGGCTCTAATTGTTCTGCACCGAAATTTAGCTACAAGCACAGTGTGGATTCGTACTTGGGAATAAAAAGTTCACATATCAGTACCAAATTTGCTAGTGTTAGTTTACTGCTAAGCTTGTAGAGGAACGTGTACCCTCGCCAAATCAAAATGCCCAAATTACTTTTAAAGGGCAGGAAATTTCACTTTTTTACTTAGCTTTTTGCAAGTTTTTAAAGTTTTGAGTATAATGCTATGAATATAGGAAATGAGGAAGGTGATACTATTGAACACCCAGAGTCCAAATATGTCATGAGTGGGCCAGTACTAGACAGTGAGTCCACTGGCACTGAGACATAAGACACGCTAATGAACTTAGCTGAAAGTCAGTGCTGACTAGGAATGCACATCTCCTTGCAACGGAAAGGTTAATAATCTGCAATAAAAAGTTTTCAAAGTATTGTCTAAAGTACTCCAAACAGCTGACTGTTTAATATTTTTATAAGATGTGAGATTCCTTTGTGAAGGCCGTTCTTTTTGTTTCAAGAATCGATGAATCTGAGTGGGGGTGGGGGCTCTCGTCGCCTAGAGGTTAAAGTGTTCGTCTCTTATTCAAAGGTCCTGGGTTCGAATCCGGGCAACGACGGAAAATTATTCTTCTCTAAAAATTGTCTCCTTTCGCCCCCTTTTATGCTCTCTGGCTGTCTGTTGTCTGCTTTCGTCTCCACTTTCTGCCTCCACCCTCTCACCTCCTTGGCTCCCTCCTCTGGGCTCCTGACTCTTTCTGCAGCCTTTCTTTGACTGCCACTCCTTGGCTCCTTCTTACTGCTGTCTTTCAGCCCTGATCTTCTGGTAGGAAAGATCTACACCTAGTCTTCTCGGGCAAGGGCGAAAAATCTCGAAAGTCCTGTGTGCAAGTTGCGCACGTTAAAGATCCCTTGGTGGTCTAAAAATCGATAAGAGTAGACTTCAGCCGCCACTCAGACAAAATTAAATATTTCTTACCAACTGAAAATGTTTTGTGTCCCGCGCGATCGTTTGACCTTATGCAATTGCAAGCGCCGTAAAACACCTACCCAAAAAATTTTAAAAAAATCTAAGTGGTGGATTTTACATTGTTTTATAATTAACATTCGATATAGGGAATAGAGACTGTTTTTATTGCTTGGGTATTATGAAAGTGTCTGTGTTCAATAAAAACTTTACATTTTTCAGGTATTATGAAAGTGTTGAAGCCTTTGAAAAAACCATAGAAAAGCTGAAGAGGGGTGACGTTATAGGAATTCGTGGAAAGCCAGGTATGCTTTGTTTATGCTACTAAATATTATATGTGATGTTGTGCTTGCAAAAGAGAGTAACTGTTTTGAAGTTGTGTTCTGTGCTGTCAGATATTTATTAACCTTACGTAACATTTAACAAAATTTGGCTTACTTCAAGTCATCACATGTTTAGTTAGGGAGGAAGCTAATTGGTAGTAAGGAATGTCTGCATTAGTCTAGTTGATGGTGCTTTGTTGTTATGATGGGGTAGGTGGATGAGAGCTCTGTGTGGTCTGCCTCTTCTTCTTTTCAGTATTGCAACAGCTAGAGTTGCAAATTTTCCAAATAGTGGGTGGTTGGCGGGTGCTCTGGTGTGGTATGCTTCTTCTTTCCTGTCGAACATCTATCGTCCTTATCTCCCCTCCTTTTTTATGTTACTCTCTTGTAACACCTCTAATCTTTACTTCTGGCGCTCAAATGACCTTATGCAGTTGCGAGCACCATAAAACCTCTACTAAAATAAAAAACAAAATTTTCCGCTTTTGGAAAAATTGTCTGGATTTATCTCTTTTTGTATGTCATCTTGCATTTTATATAAAACTAGCATTTATATATGATAAAATGAACAATATGATCAAATATGGGAGTCCCCGCTCGCACGTTTTCTTGGGGTAGGAAAAGTTCAGGAATTTAAAAATAATTATTCTTTCATCCCGCTGCTCGTTTCAGGGAAGACAAAGACGGGAGAGCTGAGTATTGTGCCCACCACCATCACACTTCTCTCCCCGTGTCTGCGACAGTTGCCACATTTGTACTACGGACTCAAGGATAAGGTGGGCATTTTTGGGGTCTGATAGGGCCAGGGCTATTCTCCTCTTTTCTTGGAAGGGTTTTTTTTTTTTTTCAGAGGGGAAGGGGGGAAACTAGGTCAAGTTTGTATTATGCAAAAATTATTTTTCTTTTCAAAGTCCGATGAAACTGTATGTAGCAGGACTGATGTTTATGTCGCTAACTTGTTTTGAAAAAATTATGTATAGTTTGAATTTTTAAGTGGAGTGGGCAAAGTGTTTAATATTGTGATCTTCATTTAAAAGAAGTTTGTGTTTTAAAGTTACTTTCATTTACTTTTTCAGTACTATTTTATAATTGTAGGCCTATCAAGAAACTATTTTACATATGACTTATATATTTATGACTTTAGACTTCTGGATGATTTTCGAGTGTTTTGGTACGGGTTGATCCTTCTTTCTTATCAAATATATCGTCCTTATCTCTCCTTTTTCTCTTTGTATGTTCTCTCTAGTAACACCTCTTATCTTTGACACTTGTTTGTGTTACAAGTTTCTAACTAAAATTGACATCTGTAGTGCAGTGGTAAAATGCTCAGCTGTCACACTCAAGAGACCAGAGTTCAAATCCTGAGTGGGAAGAAACTTTTATCTCGGTTGTTCTGCTGGGATGCTGTTTCCCTCTCAGCCCAGGTTGGCTCTAATAGGCAGGGTCGGAAGCGCACCTCCTCAATAGTATAAATTGTGAGGGAGGGGGAGGTACAAATCACCTACATTTAAACCAAAAATGTGACTCTTAGTACTGTCGCCAAAACTAAAGCAAAACTATGTACCTGCAGGAGACGAGATACCGACAACGCTACCTGGACCTGCTGATCAACGAGCCCGTCAGAGACATCTTCATCACCCGAGCCAGGATCATCAACTACGTGCGCCGCTTCTTTGATGATTTGGGATTCTTGGAGGTAGGACAGTGATGTGTGTATGTGAATGTGTATATATGTGTGTGAGTGTGACATATCTGTGTGTGTGAGTATTCTTTGCCATATCAACAGGCTGAAGGGCTAGAACTCACATGGCCGCTGGATTAGAAAAGTAAAGTAAGTGTGTGAGTGTGCGTTTGTGTGTCTAAGAGTGAACAATAGTACTAGTACCCCCTGTGTGGAGCCCTGTTGTCATATCTTTTTGGTTCACTCTGAGAGTTGAAGACTTTTTACAAACTTCATTTTGCTGCATTTTCTTCTGTAAAGGATGCTAAAAAATTTGATTCATGAGTTTTAGTGGACCGCGCCTAGATTTTAAACCTAAACGACCCTTATGTTTGGTTCAGGTGGAGACGCCGATGATGAGCATGATCCCTGGCGGAGCGACAGCCAAACCGTTCGTCACACACCACAATGACCTCAACCAGGACCTCTACATGCGTGTGGCGCCGGAACTTTACCTCAAGGTCGGACATCATGTTTGTCTTTGTGTACTGCTGATAGTGATGTTTGTGAAATTTTTTTATTTTTTTAAAAATCACTGTGCAGCAAGACATTGGACCGGGCTGCATTTATTGCAGTAATCTTAATTTGTGGTATTGGTTACATGTGCTCAAGAAATATTTTGTTGAAATTCAATTTCTGAATCATGTTTTTAAATAAAGTAAAGAAAAATACATAATGTAGGTAAACTTTTAAAAAGAAAAATGAAAGGTTGTTTTTTTTTTCTCTGGTCCTTAGAACATTTTACAGGCTTGCCAGGGAGATGGCAAAAGGTCTTTTATGTGTTACAACTGTTTGGGGAAGGGGGGAGAAGGGGTTCTACTCCTTGATGTCACTCTGGCTGGCAGTTGTGCTACATTTCTATCTGGACGAAATATGCTTAGATTGATTATGAGCAGGGGGAACTGAATTTTGTTGATGCAAAATACTCTCTCTTTATACACGCCACTAACGCGACCCTGAGTTTAACTTAACATGGAAGGGGGAGGGGGGTGTATGCTTTGACTCCAACATTGGCTTTTGACCTGGGGGGGGGGGGGGGGGGGGTGTAGGTCAATTTATGACATGCTAGAGGTGGCTGACGGCTGAACATGTTTGAAATACATTCGGGCATCAAATACAATGTCTTACCTTCAGGAAATGTTGTGTTGAGATTGATTTCATCTGAAAAAATCCTATTTGGCATTATTTTTCTTTCCCTGGGGGCCAATCCTGGCTGTATGTTGCACATATCAAACAGGGGATATACTTTGAACTTTGTTGGGGGTTTTTTGTGTGGAAAAATTGCTCGTTATTACAGGCGCGTATATGCGGTACATCTCACTAGTAGCAAGTGTAGTTGAAAAAATTGCTCTTCTTGTTGGTGCGATTATATAGCAATGTCGAGCGCGGCGAAAATTTGGTCCCCGTTTGGGGGTGAATTTTTGGACGGGGTCGGAACAACAGTGTCTAACTTCCTCGAGCTCGTTTTGCTCTATTTCTGGGCTAATGTGAATGAAACTTAGCAACCACTTAGAAAATACGGCAAACTAATGATATGTGGAAGTCGAAGTTCGTACTCATAAATTAACATAAACCTGTACTTTTGGTGTCGAAAACACTTTCGTATCGGGTACACCGAAAACTATAAGGAGTTCCGATCGATATTCGATACAGAGATGGTAAGAGATCCATCTTTCCTCTATAGTGAGTTCTCATTTGAACATTCTGTGTCAAGTAGTTGTGCAGAATTTATCATAAATGCATGACCACACACACACACACACACACACACACACACATGTGCAGAATTTATCATAAATGCATGACCACACACACACATGCACACGCACACTCACACAGAGAGAGAGAGAGAGACCGGCCATTTTCCCCTCACTTCACTCCCCATGCAAATGTGTGTGACCTACAAATCCCCGCATGACTATTCCGAGCCTGTTCATTGGTCACTTGAAATAGGGCAATGGCGGGCGGGCGCCTCCAGTTGTCTTTCTCTCTGTTCCCCTGTAACATCACAATAGGGGTATTCCGAGGCGAGCTCGTCTCGCTCGTGGTGTTCGCGTCTCAATGGAAAAAAAGGGGTTTTAATTGAACGGCATGCTAGATTGAATTGAATTATATTTTATGGTTGGCATGGTCTTAAGTCATCAAAGAAAGCTTTGCCCTTATTAAATCACCCTGCCAACATATTCTTAAAGATTCCCATGTTGTGATACAATGCTATAAATAAAAGGCTCTCATCTTGACACCCCTTTTCTGCAAAATCGAAATATGTACTCCAAAATTTTAATTATAACAAAATAACTACGAAGTGGTTAGTAAATCTGACTGCAGAAATGATTTCTCCACCCAAAAACACATTGGGTAGCCAAGTTTCTCTCTAACACTCCAATTAATTACTGAGATGTCGTCAATTATCTTACAGAATCTGCTATTGCATGGTCCACTTTTAGGACTGTTTTCCTATATGTGGGTCATCCATATTTTGCAGACTTTTAAACCCCCATAACTTTTTAATTTATGAACCAATTCTTAAAATTCAAAAAGCATAATTCTTAGAATTGAAAACTCTTTCTTAGGTAACGAATTAAAAAAATGATAAAGCTAAAATTTAAATTTTCATTGGCATTGCTAGATTATACCGTACATCTCACAAATAGCGAGTGTAGCTTTATTTTAACTTTGTTTTATCGGACAGATGTTGATTGTTGGAGGTTTGGATCGCGTTTATGAGATTGGGAAGCAGTTCCGTAACGAAGGCATCGACCTGACCCATAACCCTGAGTTCACCACGCTGGAGTTCTACATGGCGTACGCTGACTACCAGGACTTGATGCACATGGCAGAGACTCTGCTCTCAGGTAGGTAAACTTTCAAACACAGAGCGACAGTTTTTTTTTTCTCATCCCGGCACCCTGTAACGGTTAACACTTCTTTTTGTTGTGTGTCTTTGTCTTGCATATCGTCGGTCTCCTGATGAAATCGTGAATTCCACACGAAGCAAATTTTACAAGAGAGGGAAAAAACTGATTTTTTCCGTCTTTTGGCGTCCAAACTAAATGGATTAATCTAATCAATTACCTTTTAGAAATAATACTGTAGTATATTTTTTACCGTAGATAGTCATTTTTTCGAAAAAAGTGTGAGATTCACGATTTTCATATTAGAATCTTGCCTGATGCAGTCGTGAATTCCACGGAATTCACGATTTCATCAGTAGGCTTTTGGGAACGCGGTGTTGTATTCACGGTTATTAGGCAGTGTGTTTTCTCTTATTTGAGGCCCTGGTATGTTTAAAAATATATGAAAGCACCGAACACTGTTATAAGAAAGATTTTAAAAGACCAATTTAAAACTGAGAATGAAATTACAGACTGAGTGAGACAGAAAGCTATTAATTATTTTACCACTATCAACATCTCTCACTCTTACATGAATGGGATATTGTATGTAATTTATGAAATCATACTCCTTCATTTGTGCACTTTCTCTCTTTCTATCCTTCTTTCGCCAATATTGTATGTAAGTGTATTTCCTTTGGGGAGGGAGTGGTGGATGGGTTGAGAACTTTATTTATGTTAAAATTCTATACCCCCTGAATGACTGAATGATCATCTTTCATTATCTTACTCTTTTTGTCTCACAGATCCTGAAAATTACTTTTTACCGTTTATAAGTAGAATGACACAGTGGTGGGGAACTGTTTGTTAAGTTTTTCTTGTCTCTGGAATTAGGAAGTCGCCTTATCAAAATTCCTTTTCTTGTTAGGGAACTCTGATGTCAAATCAAAGAGCTTTCAAGGTCAAACAAGTTTCGGTTGTGATACAACACGGAAATATACTTGTAATTTATACTTGACTACGTCATTAAAAAATTGTTTTATTAATTAATTATTATTTTTTTTTGCAAGCAATCAAAATTGTATAACCACTACTAGAAGGGCACACACATTATTAATTCGAATTTGACAGTCGTTGTGAAACAATACTTGTCCTGCATCCAGGAAATACACATTTTAATTATGTGACAGAGGTTTTCCCGCAAAATGCATGCAGTCGACATCATAAATTATAATCTCTGGCCTGGAAACCGTGAATACTGACCGACCATTATGTTTGCACAGCGCAGTCGCCCATATTTCAATGGTCTGAAGAGGCGTTCACGGCGCCAACGGTCAGCCCGCGAGTCATAAACCGCCTGATGAGATCGGGAATTCCACACAGGTGTGGGATTCACGATGTCATCAGGCGACTTTTGGGGCACGGTGTTTATTCACGATTTTCTTATTACGTCAGATTACACGTTTGAGTTGAGATAATTGAAAAATTGTTTTACAGGGACATGCATCTCATGGAGCACTATCAAAATATGCAAAAAAAACGATTTTCGAAAATTAGTGAAATTCACGGTTTTATCAAGCGACCGACGATATGTTACTCTCTATCTGTCTTGCTTCTTTTCTGCACGATATGACCGTTATTGTGTCAATTTGCTTCTCTTTACTCAAATTCAAACTCTTAAATAGATTTACGATCTCGTTCATTTTTATGTGGGCCAGGTGCTCTGATGTGGTTTACCCAAACAGCTATCATCCTTATCGCTTCTTTTTTTTTCTTTTTATGTTACTCTCTTAAGTAACACCTAATCTTTGCCATTTATGTTGCCTAATCATTCTGTTACAAGTGCAGTAAAAACTCATACTTAACCATTAGGGGGAGGAGGGGGGGTCGCGTGTTACTTTTTTGCCCCACCTTTTTTTAATGTTGCCAGAGTGAAATACCCCATTTTTTGTGTGTGTGCTTTCCGGTAGGCATGGTGAAGCAGTTGACTGGAGGTTACAAAATCACGTATCACCCGGAGGGGCCGGAGGGTGAAGCTTTTGAGGTGGACTTCACCCCACCCTTCAAGAGGATCCCCATGATTGCCACGCTGGAGAAGGAGATGGGCGTGAAGTTTCCCGCCGCCACAGAGCTGCACACTGAGAGTGAGTGTGTCTTTGTGATTGTGCATCCGTGTCATTGGGATTGTGTGACTGTGTGTCTGTGTGATTGTGTGTGACTGTGCGTCTGTGACTGTGTGTCTTTGTGATGGTGTCCCTGTGACTATGATTGTGTGACTGTGTTTGTGTGTCTGTGTGACTGTGTTTGTGTGTCTGTGTGACTGTGTTTGTGTGTCTGTGTTTGTGTGTCTGTGTCACTGTATTCTGTGTGGTTTGTGTCACCGTGTGTGTTTGTGTCACTCTATTCTGTGTGAATGTGTGGTTTGTGTCACTGTGTGTGTCTGTGTCACTGTGTGTGTCTGCAACTGTTTTTGATTGTGTGTGACTGCGTCTGTGACTGTCTGTGTGACCGTGCGTCTGTGACTGTGTCTGTGTGGTTGTGTGTGACTGCGTCTGTCTGTGTGTTTGCGTGTGTCTGTGTGATTGTGTGTGTCTTTTACTGTATGTCTGTGTGATTGTGTGTGTCTTTTACTGTGTGGTTGCGTGTGTCTGTGTGACTGCATCTGTGTCTGTGTGATTGTGTGTGACTGATTGTGTGTCTCTGTGATTGTGTGTGACTGTGTGTGTGATTGTGTTTCTGTACAGAAGCATAATGTTGCGCAGGTTGCTGCACACCACACGTGTCGATCTAAAAGCTTGTTGAAAGTTGAGATTTTTCATCAATATGGCTTTAAAGAAAAGTTAATTAGTTCTCAGAAATGGTTGCTTTCATGTTTGCTTCAAATATCGTAATGTTGTGTACACAAAGTTTGTTTGCAAAGTGCTGACAGCAGATACTCTGTTATGTTGAGATGAAGGAATTGCTATGCGTGTTAAGATTAACATTAGATATGTGTTCATATTCAAGGAAACTTGTAATACTGCGCGGTATTCATAATGCTCCTATGTTCATAATACGATGTGCATATTGTCACCGATACTGCTGTAATAGTAAGAATGTCCTTTTATTTGTTAGTGTTGATCTAAAGAGCATATGTGAGGCAGCGTGGTAAAATCAGGCGCTCGTCAAAATAATGGAAATGAAGAAACTGGCTTTTTTCAGTAGGTTTGGAAATTTTTATAAATTTTTTATTTTTGGCTTAATGCCCATTTTACCTATCTGTACGCCCTGGGGTCATATTTTGTACCCCCGGCGTACGGATCGGATTAACGAGTAAATTTCCTCTTTGGAAGTGGTGGCACAGAGTTCCCCACTGCGTATGGATACGATAGTAAAACACGATGTATGGATAGGGTTAAAGAACACATTTCTGTGCGGGTTTTACTGAAAAACATTAATTAAAGGCATAAAAGATTAAATTTTAGGTTTCCACGGACTCTCAAGCTTAGGAAATAACTACACTTTGGCAGCCATTTTCTCGCTAATTTTACCTCTAAAACCAGGTGACCCCCACCTCCTTCAATCGCCAATATCGTGACTTGTATCCAAAATAACTGGATATTTTTTTCATCTAAAGCAAGTAAGGCAAATGAACAGGTTTTAAGATAATACCAATAACTCCATATGCCCAACAATTGACGAGCGCCTGATTCCACCACGTCGTGACACATATATATGCACGCATGTTTGTTTGATTTGTATGTTTTGTATATATATAAATGAAGCCGATGCAAACGCCTAGAGCTGTATTGTAAGAGATTGGCACTATAGAAATTATCTGCATTGTTATAATTATTATATTGTTTTTATTATTATTGCTGTTTGGTTGTGAGGTGTCATGTTTGTTGGTTCCCATCCTCAGGTGCCCGCAAGTTCCTTGATGAGCTGGCAGTGAAGCACGGTGTGGAGTGTTCCCCTCCCAGAACAACAGCCAGACTGTTGGACAAGGTAAGCACGTACAGCATACAATGGCTCACACAGGTGTACACCGGCACCCTTGGTGTTGTTGTAAGGCACTTTGCTGTTGTTCACAGAGAATTTAAATCAAGTACCTCAGTCTCTCTTCTAAGCTGGTCCTGACTAGCATGGTAAGAAGCCCACCTCCTAAATTATCTAAATTTGTGTCAATGGGGGCTCAAAAACATTATGTATATTTAACACACACACACACACACACACACA